CCCAAGACGCCCGCTCAAGCTCGACAAGTCCCGGCTTGGAGCACGAACCATCGGAGGCAATATCAAGGCGAGGACCTGAAACTAAATTACCTTCTTCCTCGACCGAAACATCCCAACTTTCCCCTCGAGGCCCCTCAAGAACGACCTGGTCTGAACAAAAGGGGGCCGGAATTTCGGACTCGGGGTACAGGAAAACTCCTTGCGTGAAAATTGGGTCCTGAGATCCAAGACCGCTCCGCACGAATTCAGCACTGACGCACGACTGAAGACGAGCCTCCACAACTCGAGGGAGGAGACACCCAAACAAACGATGAGTGACCGTGTCCTTCTCCCCACAGTCGCAGAGGCCATTGCATAAATAGCCAGCTTCTTGGGCGCGCGCCCTAGTCCAGATACCTCTGCACGAGCAGTTCTCGATGAGAAATTTCTCAAAACGCGAAAAAGTCCGAGCACGATCACCGAGACTCGAACGAACGAAATCGACAGAAGCTCGATACCCATCGGGAGCCCCCAACTGCTTGGCAAGAGTCAGCTCGTGCTGACGCTGAATGCCTGCAAGAAACATCGTACTCAGCATGCTGGGGGGCATCTTGCCGACAGGTACCTCGGACCCACGGTGGTCAAGCCACACGGTTGCAGAAGGAACCTGCCACCCGGCACGCCTAGCAGCGAGCACAGCTCGCAAGAGAGGGCCACGGCTGGTCGCTCAGGACTCAACGTCAGTTGGTCGAGCCTCGCGCCACAGCCTCAACAGCCGCGCTGTCGTGGCCAGAGGGTGATCGCACGCTTCTGATTGCCATAGCATGCGGCACCATTGCACTGCAGGCGCCACTGCCGTTGCAGCAGCGCCATCGCCAAACAAAATAGTCTTCGAGGAGCAGCTGACGCCTCCATGCGCCGGCAGCCGCCCGCGACGATGAACACGTCTCAGCTGCAACCACTCGTTGTTGTCGACCCCCGCTACCTCGCTGCCGTACGAGGCCTCAGGAATCACACCGGCACGAATGACGGTGCCGATGGACTTTGCCTTCTGCCCGGCCATGGCCATTCCAAATCGGCGCACCTTCCGCATTCGGCGTACAAGATGACAGCCAAGAGCAGCTCGCTTCTTAAGAACACCGCGGGACTTGCGAGTGCTAGCCTCGCACACGTCGATACCGACGTACACGGCACTACGCCGAGCAACAGAAGCAGGCAGACCGAGCTCGTGAACGATCTGCTTGGCAACGTCGATGGCGGTACCGACCACCGCCAACTTATCATTCACAATGGCTTCGAGATCGGCTGCAGTGCGCTGAAAACCCCTGAGAGCACTGACCATCATGGCCACCGTGGTGCTCTTCTCGCGGCTGGAGACCCGCATCGAGTTGTCATCGATGTACGAGATGAACGAGATGCACGGCTGCCGCACGAGCAGGGCGTCGTAGTCGAGCAACGACCACACCTTAACCGCGATATCGCAGAGAGCATCCCCAGCTGGTAGGCCAAACTCGGCACATAAAGCTCGCTCGGCGAAATGACCCTGTAGCCGGAGAAGCCGGGGCGCTCGCCACATGTTGAAAGCGAGCTTGAGGAATCCCAGGGGGGTCTTGAAGTACTGGAACTTATCGCGCAAACGCTAGAGGCGAAACCGCGACGAGGTGGAGAAGAGCCTGCCTTCCGGAACGTGGGGCGTCCTGCACCAGGCCGCACACCCGGTCCGTGAAGCTGAGCCTCTGGCCGGGAACAGGGGAACACACTCCGAACATCGCCCTCGCCAGGAACGGGTGCACCGGGTCCGTGCGGGCCCCGACCGTGGCCGCGCAGTCCCAGCGCCCGCCGCTGCCAGCATCGGCCAAGGCTTGGTCCTCGCGCTGTCTTCGACGCGGGGCGGGCGCGGTGGAGGCTGGACGGGATCGCGGGCCAGCGCAGCCTTCGAAGGTCCAGCGGGCGCGGGCACTCCACCCCCCCGTCGGAGAGGGCGCCGTGCCGCGCGCGCGCGCGCGGCAAGGAGCCGCTGGCAGGCTGCGGCAGGGCAGAGGCCGAGCCCAGCACGGGCGGCGCCGCGCAGTAGCCCTAGGTCGGGCACGTCCCCCTACAGGGGGATTTTGGACGAAAATTGAAAATAAGACAAAAAATACTCCGAAATCTCCAAAAGTGGTCAAAAAAACGTTCCCAGACTATTTTTAAACTATTTTCGAATATTCCTCCTGTAGAGGGACAGACCCAACTTAACAGTAGCCTCCCGCGGCGCCCCCACCGTGGTCGCACCGTCGGCGCGAGGGGGGACGTGCCCGCGGGGAGGCACACGCGGGCCTCGAGCTGTGGCGCGGGGTCGCACCCAGCCAAAAACAAATTAAGAAGCAAGGCCCATCTCCAGCGGGTCAGGAGGTCTGACTCCCAAGGGAAAAGACGTGAAACAACGGGGGAGATATATATATATATATACAGAGAGAGAGAGAGTTGGAGAGAGAGGTAGGAGAACGTGTGACAGAGCGAGAGAGAGAGAGAGAGAGAAAAAAAAAAAAAAAAAAAAAGAAAACGAAACCGAGAGCGAGATCGGAAAGAGAGATAGAGAGGGAGTCACGAGACAGTGAGACAAAGAAAGAGGGAGGGAGGTACAGGGAAGGGAGGGAGATAAAGGCACCCAGGAAGGCACAAATCCGCCGGCCCCTGCTTGCCGGGGGTCGAGGGTCGTGCGAGACATTTGGCTGTCCCCATCCCCTTTTCCCCCTTCGCCAGGGTCCAAAATCGCGTTCGAAGAAGGGGGGGGGGGCCGGGCTCCCCAACGCACCCCTGGGGCCTCCGGAGCCTGCAAGTCTACCCTCCGTGCCCGCCAAGATCCCAGGAAGGCCTCTAGGATGGCTCCAGAAGAGCTCCAATACGCCGGAGAGGCCTCAAGATCACGCAAGATAGTCTTCAGACGGCCGAAGACGCCGAAGGAAAGCCCGAACAGGACCCCCCCACCCCAAGAAGGCCTCAAGAGGCAAAGGACTATAATTTTCCATTAGTTGTTGCATGAGGTTCGCGTTCTCGGCTCTCTAGCGTCTGCGCACTAAAGACAGCCCAAGAGGCCCCCCAGACTGGCCCAAGCCGGCCCAAGAGACTCTCAGTACGGCCCAGAGACGGCCAAGGAGGGCCCAAAGACGGCCAAAGGGGCCCCAAGACCAAAAACTTGAATGTGGCCCCAAGAGAGGCCCAAAAGAGGCCCAAGAAGGGGAACCCGCAGAGGCCCTGGGAGCCCTCCCCCAGAAGGTGGGCCCCAAGACCCCCAACTGGCTCCAAGAGGCCTCCAGAAAGCCCCCCAAGTGCCTCCCAAACCCGCTTGGGAGCCTCGACAAAGCTCCAAGAGGCCGCAACCTGGGCCGCCTGCAGGCCCCGAAGATGCCCCCCATAAGCTCCAGGAGGCTTCAAAAATGCTCAAAGGAGACCCCCCGCAGGCTGCGGAGAATCCCTAAAGACACCCCCGAACTCCACGAGGGGGGCCCCAAATAGAGCCCAGAAAGCCTTCGAAGCCGTCCCGTTGTCCTCGATATCCTCATCCTTTTCCTCCTGCCGCTCACCGTCGTCATGATCTAGTTCATCCTTTTCCTCCTCCTCCTCCTCCTCATCCTCCTCCTCCTCCTCCTCCTCTTCCTCCTCCTCTTCTTCCTCCTCCTCCTCCATTCCTTCTCCTTATACATCATAACTTCTCCCTGTCGCGCCCCGAGGCAAGTTTTTAGGGCGGGCCGGGCGTTTCGCCTGAGACTTCCTCACCATTTATGACTCTGAAGCTTAAAAGGTGGCAACAGTTTCGCAGATGGGGGGCGGGTAGCGCCGCGCATATTCGCTATAACAAAATATTGCACGAGCTTCCCGCATTGAGGGCGGGTCGTTTTCAAAATGTGGCTCTCGCCTTAGCGCCGCGCACATTCGTGATCAAGAATTGCACGAGCTTCACGGATTGAGGGCTGGTCGTTTTCAAAATGTGGCTCTCGCCTTAGCGCCGCGCACAGCTGTTATAAACAATTTGCACGAGCTTCACCGATTGAGAGTTGGTCGTTTTCAACATGTGGCTCTCGCCTTAGCGCCGCGCACATTCGTTACGGATTCCCATCATTAACCTACCAGAAATGGTGTTTCGAAGGATTCGGGATTATGCGAATGCAACGGTTATGTTGGTTCGCGGTGTTGAAATCCCAAAAAACTGCGTTATGGAACGATTCCGGATCGTTAAGACGCTGCAGTCAGGTTGATCCGTGGCGTTGAAATCCCGAAAACCATGTTTTGGCTTGCTTCAGGATCTTCAAACGGTTGTCTTCCAACGAGGCAGTTCCCTCAATGGAAATGAACCGTTGTAGGGACCTGTGAAGAGGGAGCTTGGAGGGAGGGTTAATTACAACATCGTTGATGACTCTTGGGCTTACACTGGTCCTCATCCTCCTCCTCCTCCTCCTCCTCCTCCTCCTCCTCCTCCTCCTCCTCCTCCTCCTCCTCCTCCTCCTCCTTCGTTCTCCGATTCCCAAGATGAGAAGGGTATTCCGACCATCCGGGACGTCACTCCAGGAGCATCTCACTTCATGCGCGACGCGCAACATATGTCGGTGTTCCCTCCCGAGAAGCGCAGGATAAGTGAGCCCCATGCGCGGAGTAGCGATTGCGCGGCGGCCACTCCTCCCACACACTGAGACACTTGAACACATCCCATGCGCGAGACGGCGTCCAAGAAACAGCCAGCAAGCGCCCAGGAACTCTGACGAGGCTTCAAGACGCCAAGACGCCCACCAAGACGCCCACAAGGCCTCACCTCGTCTAGAGTCAACGAAATGGCGCAAGCTTCTTACATGTATTCCTAGCAATGTCAGGGTCCCCTCCATTTTTCAGATTTTCTGGATGTTCGTCTTCCGCTCCATTTCCCATAAGTTCCCCTATCTTCCTGGAAATCGATGCTTGCATGTCTGTGTCAGTTTGTCCATCCTGAGGGGAGGGGGATCAGAGAGATTAAGAGAGAGAGGGAGAGGTGAAAATAAATGAATCAAGTCCTGATGTACTTGGTCAGCAGCACGTTCGGGCTCTTCAGGTCCCGGTGGATGATAGATGGCGTTTGCGCATGTAGATATCTGGCGGCAAAGATGGCGCGGGGAACGAGCGGCAGTTCGCGGCAAGACCTCAGCATGAACCGCAGGGGGAGCAGCAGCAGCGGGAGCAGGAGCAGGAGCAGGAGCGGGAAGGAGAGAGAGGGTGAAAAGGAGGAGATCATCCTCGTCCAATTCTGGCTTCTGGAACTGACCTCTGGTCATCTGCGCGACCCTCCCCCCTCCTGTCTTCAGAGGGAGGTGGAGAAAGAGGGTGGCGGCAGCAGCATCACCGCTCTTCACAGCCGAGCCCGGGAGCCCCGCGGGGAGCACCCTGCCAGATGGCGAGGAGCACGAGCGCCGAGGGTGGGGAAAGACGGGATCTCGGAAGGATGAGGAGGGAGGAGGGACAAGGGGGGGGAAGGGGGGGGTAAGAGGAGGGAGGAGAGAGGACGGGGGCAGAAGTAGCTCGGGGAACCTTCAAACAAGTCTCTGGCCCCCCACCCGCCTCCCAGGAAGCCTCCGAAAACAACGGCGAACTGCCAACTACGAACCTCTCCCCCTCTCCCTCCTGCAGAATGAGGAGGAGGGGGAGCAGCGGCAAGACAGCGCGGGGATCAACCCTTGGCCAGATAGATAAGTCGGTAGGAGACGCCTGAGGCGCCGTTCCAAAATGTCGGACGAGCGCGCAGCCTTCCGTCCTATGTGAGAACCACACGGGGGAAAGGAAGACCCCTCTTTCCAGAACGAGGAGCAGAAGTAGCAGGAGGAGAAAGGGGAGGAGGAGCAAGATGGGAGGTACAGCCTGGGGGGGCAAGCAGCCAAAGCCAGAGGTCAACAGGAGCCATGCATCTTCCTCCCTCGTACCCCCCTCCTGCCCCCTACTCCGCCACCCTCCTGCTCCCTCCTTCCTCCTCGTCCTCCTCCTCAGTATCCTCTCTCCTCCTCATCCTCCTCCTGTTCCTACTTCTCCTCCTCCTCCTTCGCATCACCATCATTATCATAAGATTCATCATCAGCAGCATCATCATCATCACAATCATCATCGTCATCATCATCATCATCATCATCATCATCATCATCATCATCATCATCATCATCATCATCATCATCATCATCATCATCATCATCATCATCATCATCATCATCATCATCATCATCATCATCATCATCATCATCATCATCATCATCATCATCATCATCATCTCATCATCACATCATCACATCATCAACATCATCAACATCATCAACATCACATCATCATCATCATCATCAT